CCCCCAGAACTGCTCTCTCCCAGGTCCCACAGCCTTCCCAAATGGCAAAACCCTCAGAGCAAGGTCGGGTTCTGCAGGGCCAGCCCCGTGCCCAGGGAGCTGGGAAAAGCTGGCTGAGGTGCCAGAGCCAAGATCTGCTCAGGTCCCCACCACTCTGTGCTTCTCTGAGGGAACAGCTCTGCTCCAGGAGCACTGAGAGATGCAGCTCCTGTCCCCCCCAGCCCCCAGCATGGGGGAACTGTAGGGAGGAGGCAGAGCTCCAGCCTCCCAGCATGGCCAAGCAAAACTTCCTCTCAACAGGCAGTGGGGTCCCCTCTGGCAGCAGTATTTGTCCTCTGTGATAAGACCCAAATCTTACAAAGACATCACGTTCTCCCTCCTTATCCCAGGCAATTCAGTGTCCCCTCAGGAGGAACCCCACACCCAAAAGAGCACAGGATGGACATATCAGGGCAGAGCTGGATCCCTGGGCCCTTTCTCTCCAGCCACCTCCAGAGATCCCAGCCCTCACCACCATGGGAGGATGCTCCGTGCCTCAGCTCAGCTTCTCCCTGCTCGCCACTGACCGAGGCAAGGAGAAGAGGGAACAGCTCCTCGTGTGCCAGATCCTGCCCAGCCTGGCCTCCCCTCACTGCCAGCCCAGTCAGAGCCCAGCAACAGCAGCCAGCATGTCACAGCCCTTCTCTCTGCCCCTCCTGGGCCCAGGAAGGGGTTTACAAAAATGCAAGATTCCAGGAGGAGAGAGGATCCAGGAGAGCATGGCCCAAGGCTGTCCCTGAGCCCCCTGGTCCCCAGGACATAGATGTGCTCCCCGTGTGCTGATGGGACTCGAGCCTCTCCAAACCCTTTCCTCCCCCAAACACAGCCATGGCCATGCAAGCAGCGATGCCCCTTTGCTGCTGGGCTTGGAGTCCAGCCAGGAGTGGGGCTGGGGTGGGGTGGGGGCCAGTGGTACCAGGCTGGTAGGACACTGGGGAAGGTAGGCAGTGTTCAGCCATGGCACTCCTCGCTGCAGGGAGCTGTGAGTGTTAAATGCCAGCACAGGCTCCAAAAAGCTGTTGGATGACTCCAGAAAGCAAAGGCACCGATCCTGCTCCCAGCGCAGCCTCCAACAGCCTTCTGCTTCCCCCATCCAGGAGCTGGGCACAGGTCACACCTTCAGCAGGGAGGAACCCCAGAGAAATGGCTTCTGCTGAGCTGCCCTCTCCCCAAACACTCTTCCCTTCAGCCCTGAACCCCCAGCACACATGGCTGGGCCCCGTGGCAGGTGGGCAGAGGTTGGGTGGGGGTGGGATCCTGCCAGAGGAGCTCCGCTCGCCTGCACACCCCATCCTGCTCCCTCCCACACCTTCAGCACCCACTCACCTCCCAGACACCCTTCCTCCTCTCTGGGTGCTGCTTCACCCTCACAGACACAGGTGGGGAGCAACGGGCCGTGGTTTGGGGATGGGGTGACTGAGGTACAGGCAGGACGATGGGGTTTTGCCGTGGAGCTGCCAGAGTCTCAGCCAGCCACAGATTAAATCTGCAGAGCAGGAGGACAGGATCCAGCCCCCAAACTCCAAGTGCTCCTTTTCCAGTTGCCCTTCTACCTGGAGCACAGCCACATTCCCAAGGGATAGTCAACATGATTGTGACTCCACCAGAGGGGACAAGGGGGCCCTTTGCCCCTCCTGCCTTACCCCGGCCCAAGTAAGGGTCACTCCCTCTCCTGGAGCAGGATTTGGGGAGACAAGAGGGTCCCAGTGCTGGGGATGCTTGTCCTGCTGCTTCCCACTGCCATGGAGCCACCGGTACGGGCAGGAGAGCAGGCAAAGATCAATGTGGGGGAAGCCAGCTCGGGGAAAAATAGATATCTATCTCATTAAAAATGGATGCTCAAACGAGTCCTCCCCACTCCAAAGCCACCTCCCTCCCTCTTCCTGGTAGCCAGAGTGAAATCAGCACCCAGCTTCCAGAGGAGAGGAGATGCCAGCACGGCATGGCGCTGTCGCTGTGCCCACTGCTCCCACCCTGCTGCTGCTGAGACCTTCTGGGTGCTGCAGGGGGTGTCTGAGACCCCCAGTGCTTCGGGCAGAGGGTGATTATGGAGCAGGATCTCTGCCAGGAGCACCTCTGCTGCAGGGACTGCCACACTTTGGCCTTCACTGCCCAGGCACTGCCACATCCCACCAGTGGCACTGGCTGCCCAAGAGGCAGTGCTGCTTCAGCCCAGTGCCCCATAGCACCCCTGGGCCCCCACATGACCAAAATCTTGGGGGTCTCTGTTTGATTGCTGCCAGAACCCTGTGCCTCAGTTTCCCCCATTCATGTGCAGCCCCAGCCATTCCATGGGGTTCAACCTGCCCACCTGGCCCCCACATGGACACCCCCACCCATTCCCATCCCCTGCCCCACCAAAACAAACTTCTCATGCCCATCCTGGACTGCTTGGGGGTCCCTGACACACTGGGCTCTCTGGGACCCCAGTGTGGGGCTCAGCCCCCTCAGCCCCATCCCAGGAAAGGCTTTCCCCTTCCTCCATCCCCTGCCACCCCGAGTCCCCATTTTGCCTTTCTGGCAGGATTTTTGCCCGTGGGCACAGCCCAGCCTGGAGCATTCCTGCCCTTGCCATCACCCCCCCCATGGCACAGGGTGGAGGGTGCCCAGAGCCACCCCACAGGGACCCTTTGTGGCAGCGTAGATGTCCCAGGGACGTGTCAGGGTCCCCGAGTTGCTGGATGGTGGCTGCCCAAGAAAGGAGAAACCTTGGGGTAACCCAGCAAGAAGAGGGAGGATCACCAAAAAAAAAAAGAGGAGCCAGGGCCCCTCCTGCTTGGAGCCCAGAGGTGTTCTGGGGTGACAGATGGGTCTGGGGCAGAGCAGACCTGCATCGGTCACAGCGGGTCCAGAAGGGACGCAGAAATGCTCAGAGGGCTGGAAGAAACTCTCCTGTGGGGAAAACCTGGGAGAGATGGGACTGTCCAACCTGGAGAAGACCTTCAGGCATCCTGGAAATATTTAAGGGGGCTTGGAATAGCAATGGAGAGAGGCTTTGTGCCAGGACCTGTAGAGACAGGAGAAGGGGTGACAACTTTGGTTGGAAGAGGGTGGATTTAGATTGGATATAAGGAGGAAACACGTTGCAGGGGAGGCAGTGAGAAGCTGGAGGAGCTGTGGGTCCCCACCGGGCTGGAGCAGCCTGGCCCGGCGGGAATGTCTCTGCCCAGGGCAGAGGTAGGACCGGGTGGTCTTTGAAGGTCCCACGGGACGAGTCGATGCTCTGCTTCTCTGCGGGACGTGGCTTTCCCCCGCCCCACCCGGGTCCCACGGGATCCACCGGGGTCCCCCGCCCGGGGGTGGCGGTTCCCGGCCGCAGTGACCGCGGTCACCAGAGGGCACTGCGAGCCCGAGCATCCCGGAGACACCCGGGGGGATCGGGGCCAAAAGGGGGCCCGTAGCGGTCCCAGACCCGCCACAGGGGCCGGAGGCTTCGGGGAGCTCTCAGGGGGCGGGCAGCACCCAGACACCCCCCCAAGTCCTCCCAGTCCCACTTGGACAACCCCCCCTGCGGCAGCCGGGGACAAAGGGGACACGGTGGGGTGCTGGGGACACACTCAGGGGACAAGGCCACAGGCCAGAGCTCCAGGCACGGCTGGCATCCCCGTGGGTGCCCAGAGATGCTCAGCGCCATCAGCTGGTCCGGGGATCTGAGACAATAGCGGGGTGCTGGGGGGGCTTTGCCCCGTCCCAGCTCAGCCCCAGCTCTGGTGGGTGTACCAAAGGGGCTCCTGACCCCCCCAGTTGCCATGCCCCAAATGCAGGGGTGGCCCATGCCGTGTGGAGGGAAACCAGGGCTGGTGGCCACCGTGGTTTGGTCAGGCTGGTGCAGAGGTTTAACCAGCAACACCCACTTAAGGTGGGTCGGGGGCTGTTGGGGGACTGAGGGTACAGACCCCCTCCCCCCGGGGTGCTGACATTAGGGCAGACTCTGCCATGTGCCTGTGGCAACAGTGGCACCCACCTCCAGCCTGAAACACCCATGTCCCACCTCCCTGCATGCTGGGGTGTCCCAAGGGAATGAGGGTGCTGAGCACCCACCCGGGTAGGAGATAGGTATCGATGGGTTGAAGTCCCTGTCTGGTGCCACCTCATCTCTGGCATCACCCCACCTCCGGTGCCACCTCACCACTGATGCCATGTCGCCCGTGGGCACCCATTTGTGGGTTCCTGGCTGGATTCCCTGCCCAGCTCCAAGCCCAGCCTGCCTCAGTTCCCCATGGTGACACCAGATCAGCCCCGGGACCGTGTCCCCCCATGCCAGGGTCACCGTGACCCTCTGGGGCACAGCCAGACCCTGGACCCAGCCACCCACTGGCAAACTCCACAAGGCAACTGATGGCTCAGCACGAGGGCCAGCAGGCAGAGAGCCCCCCACCCGGACCCCCACCCCAACCCCCTGACACCTCCACATCCCGACCCGCTCCACCTTAACCCGCAGCCCCTCTGGCCCCTCATTTTCCACGGATTCCAGCAGCGTGACTTCTTTCAGCATCATTTCATGGCCGGAGGGCTGTGAATCCTCCTCTCCCCGCCCGCCTCCCCCTCCCCTTCCCCCTTCCCTCTTTCTTCCCACCATCCCAATTTACAATCCCTCATTTCCATTCCGCTCCACCCTCTGGCCGGGGACTTTGTTCCCGGCCTGTATCATCCCATCCCAATTGTTCGGTGTTTATTTCAAACATTTTGGCGGGCTGTCACTGCATGGAAACTTAATTAATGGTGGGGTCTGTGCTGGTGGCACAATAGCGGCTGGAAGGGGAGGTGCTGTAAAAAATCCCGAGGTTTGGAGGGGGGGGACTTGTGGGTTCGGACATGTGTGACCCCCGTGTCAGGCCCACTGCCACGTGCCTGGGCTCCCCTTGGATAGGAAAGTGTCTGGGGGGGGTGGGATTGCTGCTGGGGGTGGGGGTAGTAGGTTATATGGAGGTTGTGGGGGTGTAACTTTTCAGGTACACAGTTCTGGGGGGCAGTTTAAACCAGAGGGGCTGTAGTCTGGGGTGTGCATAGGTTAGGGTGTGCATAACTTAGGGGGAACACAGCCTGGGGTGTGCATAACTCAGGGTTTGGACAGCCTGTGGTGTGTGTAACTCAGGGTTGGATGTGTGTGACTCTTGGGGGTCTGTGTAAACAAGGGGGCCTGTCGTGTGGGGTGTGCATAGCCTGGGCTATAGGTTGGGGTGTGTACAGTTTTGGGTGTGCACAGTTCGGGGTGTGCACAGTTCGGGGTGTGCACAGCTGGGATGTCCCTGTCCTGCCGTGCCTGTAGCCCTGCTGTGCACAGCCACGGGTGCACAGAAACTCAGGGTGCACCCCACGGGGGGAGGGCCCTTAGGCTGGGGTGTCCCAGCCCTGCTCCGGGTCCTGTGCCCCAGGCTCAGCCGTGGCCCCCCCCTTGGCCGGTGTCCCCCCATCGCGGGGGTTGCGGAGGAGCCCCGGGGGGCTCTGGGGCTGCGGCAGCGGCGAGTGCCGGTGCCCCGGCGGTGGGGAGGGGGCCGAGGGGGCTGCTCCGGTGCCCGCCCCTCCGCCGCTATTGGCGGAAAGTTCGGGGCGCGCCGCGGGGCGGTGGCCGCGCTGCCCCGTCCCCGCCGCCCCGGCCCCGGTGCGGGAGCGCTGCGGGCAGGGCCGGGCCGGGCCGGGCCGCCCGGGGCCGCCGCGGGCGCGGCCATGTGGGCGCTGCGGGCGCTGTGCCTGGCCGGGCTGGGGGCGGCCATCGGCGGCGTCTCGGCGGACCAGTGCAGCTGGAGGGGCAGGTAGGCACCGGGAACACCGGCACTGGTAGCGCCGGGATCGGGAACACCCACACCGGGAACACCACACCGGGGGCAGCGCGCCGGGAGGGATGCGGGATGGCACACGCGGGTTCGCAGCCCCCCGGGGAGCTCCCGCCGCCCGGGCAGGGCAAGTGCAGGGAACAGTGGGGTGGCTGCTCCCCCCAGCCCCATCGGCCCCCAGGGCTGACCCCCCTCCTGGATCAGTGGGGAGGGTCACGGGTGGGATGTGGAGACCTTTCCCTGCCTCAGTGTCCCCTTCCTGGGTGCGACTGACCATCCCCCCCCCGAGGGATGCTGGTCCCCCCACGGAGCTCCCCGCCTCTCCGGGACCCCTTTCCTCAACACCTCCACCCGTGAAGCCCATCCCGGTGGCCGGCGGGACCCTCAGCCCCGCGGCAGGGCCCGAAGCACCGCCCGAAGGCGCCGAACTCCGAACAAAGAGCCAGAGCCCTCCAGGAGGGGCTGCCCCACGCGGGGGGCTTGGGGGACCATGGGGGCCACACAGCCACCAGCATCCTGGCTGGGACAAAGCAGCCCCCCGGTTGTCCCCGCTCCCCCCAGGTTGGTTTCACCGCGTGTCCCCCTGCGCTCACAATGCCGCGGGAAAGAAGTAGCTCCGGGTATCATTTACACGTGAGCGTGTGACTCCAGAACCCACTGGGGATCCCCAGAGTGGGAATGCACGGGAGCAGGTGACCCCAAGGCTGTGGGCACCCTGGGGGTGGCTTGGGAGCCCACACTGGGTGCAAGGGAGGCTGTGCTGTTGTCCCCCTCCTCAGCCCCTCCTAAAAGTGCTGGGGGGTCTCAAGCACCCCCAAATGATGCACTTGCACCCCAAGTCCAAGTCACTGAGGGTTTGGTGCTGTTCCTCCCTGTGGCCACCCCACGGGCCTCTGCAGAGGTGCTGTGTGGGAGTGTGGAGTGCTGCCGTGCCGGGGGACACGGGCTGGGGTGACACGGGCTGGGGTGACACGGGCTGGGGGCTCCCCGTGCCTTGGCGGGTCCCGGCTGACGGGGTCTGTCCCTCACAGTGGGCTGTCACAGGAGGCGGGCAGCGTGGAGCAGCTGTCCCTGCACTGCGCCGAGGGCTCTCTGGAATGGCTGTACCCCACGGGGGCCCTTCGGCTCCGCCTGGCCCCCCGCCTGCCCCCCACCACGGCCGCCGTCAAAGGGGGGAGCCCCCGGCACATCACCGCCTGCGTCAAACCCACCGGAACGTTCCGGGGGGCTCAGCTTTACCTGGAGAGGGAGGGGGTGCTGGAGCTGCTGCTGCCAGAGGCCCCCCGGCCCCGCGCCCGCTGTTTCAGCTGGCTGCCCCAGGAGAAGGTGGCCCTGTTCCTGCAGGCCACCCCACACCCCGACATCAGCCGCCGCATCGCCGCCTTCCGCTACGAGCTGCGGGGGGACTGGCTGGCCCGGCCCGCCCTGCCCGCCGCCAGCCTCGGCGCAGAGGGTGAGTGCCCAGCGTCCCCTCCCCCTCCTCGGGTTCCTCTCCCCTCGCCAGGGTGTCTGTGAAGGCGAGGAGGAGCGGGATCGGGGTGGTGTCCCCCTGCAGTGCCACCCGGAGTGGCGGGTGGTGGCGGGTGGTGACGGGCTGTGCTTGGCCTTGCAGGTGCCTGTCGGCCGTGCAACGACACCGAGATCCTGATGGCCATTTGCACTAGTGACTTCGGTGAGTGGGGACCAGGGCCAGGGAAATCGGAGAGGGGGAACAGCCCCACAGGCAGCACCGGGCCCCCTCCGGGCTGGGCTGGGCTGTGGCCAGTGGGGGCAGAGGATGCTGTGAGATGGGAACAGGGATGAAAATGGGGATGGAGATGAGAATGGGGGCAGGAGTGAGGATAGGGATGGGAATGGAGAAGGGGTGAGGGATGAGAATGAGAATGGAAATGGGGATGGGGATATGGACAGGGATGGGGATGGGAGCTGGGATTAGGATGGAGGAGGGGATGGGAATAGGAAAGGGAGTGGGGATGAGACAAGGGAAGAGATGTGGACAGGGACTGGCATGGGAATGGAGATGGAGATGTGAATGAGAAGGGGTGTAGGAATGTGGGTGGGAACAAGGATGGGGTTGGGAATGGACATGAGGACAGAGATGGGGATGGGAGTGAGGATATGAATGGAGACAAGGATAGGGATAGGAATGGGAATAGGGATGGAGACAAAGGTGCAGATGGGAATGGGGATATGGTCAGGGACAGGGATCATGCTGACACGTCTCCCCTCCTTCTCCCCACAGTGATCCGTGGCAGCATCCGGAGCGTGTCCAACGATGCGGAGCTGCAGGAATCCATCATCGGGGTGAGCGCCGCCCGCATCCACCGCCAGAAGTTCCCTCTTTTCCAGGCAGGCGGGCGGCCGGGGCGGCCCATGGGCAGCATCCGCACTCCCCTGCGCTGTGGGGTCAAGCCGGGCCCCGGCACCTTCCTGTTCACGGGGTGGCTGCATTTCGGGGAGGCCTGGCTGAGCTGCGCCCCCCGCTACCGGGACTTCCAGCGCATCTACGAGGGGGCCCAGCGCGCGCGCCAGAACCCCTGCGAGTTCCCTGTGGACTGAGCGGCTCCGGGAGTGCCCTGCAGGACCTGGGGACCCCTGGCAATGAGAGTACCCCGGGGGACACAGGGCTGGTGCCCAGAGGTTGCACAGGGACGGTGCCCGGAGGGAGCACAGCGCATCCACCCTCGCCGCGTGGCCGGACTGTGGCAGCACCTGCTGGCGGGCTCGGGGGTTCTGAGAAAATCCTGCTGCAAGAGAAGGGATTTTCCCAGGGCGTGTTTGTCCGTGGGCACCCAGGGACCCGCCTGGGTGAGGGGTGCAGTGGCACGGGGTCGGGGCTCCCAGGGGACTGGGGTGCTGCATGCTCAGGAGATGCTGTGGGGCAAGTGGGGCAGGGGCAGCCGGACCCCCAGCCCCTGGCAGGGCTCGAGGGTGGGTGGCCGTGGTGGCCAGTCCAGGGACACGGTGGGCACAATGGGGCGTGGAAGGGCCAGGAGATGGATTTGCAATGTTGAGGGTGGAAGAGGGAGTGGGCAGCAGCGAGCCTGGCCCTGGCCCTGCCTGCAGTGCAGGGCACAGGCAGGAGCTGTGGAGTGGATGCTGAGGAAGAGGAGTGAGGCCGAGGGGAGCAAGGGGAATGGTGAGGTGGGAAGAAGGCTGAGCAGAGGTGCCCTTGGCACAGCCGGGGCAGGACCAAAGCGCCAGTGCAGGAAGGTGCCATGGGAACAGGGAGAGGTCACTGTGCCACCCGTCACTGGCAGCCCACGGGTGACTGGCAGTGAGGCACAACGTGCCAGCAGGGGGGAATTTTGGACCGTGGGGGTGGGGGGCATTGTATGTGCACTAAAGTTATAACGATACCAAATTTGTGACTTTTTTTTTTTTTTTATAAACTAAGCTGTATTTGTAGCGTGTGGCTCTTGTTTTCAAAAAGCTGGGTGGGATGTTCAGTGATGGGCACCACAGTGAGTTCCAGTGCTGTGAGTGCCGGTGCTGCTGTGTGTCACCTGCCTCCCCCTGTGCCAGCTCCAGCTATCAGTCCTGCCTCCTGCAGGGCTGGAAACATCCCTGATGTTTATATATCTATATATCTATCTATACAGACAGATATTGCACATGCTGCATCCCCTGGTATGGGTCACTTTGGGGTCTCTCTCTCTCCCTGGGTATCCCAGGGTGAGGGGGTTGGGGTGGTCCCATGCTGGGTGGGTGACTCTGCCGACAGAGCTGCTGTCAGGGCTGATTCTTGTCAGAGCCACCAGCCACAAGGCCTCATTGTGCCAGGCTGTGCCATTCCAGCATCTCAACCCTGCTCACTCCCACCCCTCCACTGCCCCCATCCAGCCCCTGCCTCGGGCTCCTGCTCCTCTGGTGTGCTGTGTCCCTGGGGGTAGTGAGGGGATGGGACCCCTGGACAGGGATGGGATCCGGGACCCCCAGCTGGGGATGGGGAACAGGACCCCCAGACAGGATTGGGATATGGAACCCCCTGGTGGGGATGGGGCACAGGACCCCCAGCTGGGATTGGGCATGAGAACCCCAACAGGGGATGGGACATGAGCCACTCAACTGGGGATGGAGCACAAGACCCCAAGCAGGGACCTTTCCTCCTCATCAGTGATGCCCACAGGGACTCATCAGAGGAAAGCACAGCTCCTGAGCCCCCCCAAGCCCCTGAGCCCCCCAGACCACCCAAACCAGGCTCATGCAACACATCCACTTGTACTTTAACAAACTTCTCAGTCTTGTTTCAAAAGTGCCTTTTCAAATATCGCCATCCAGGATGAACTGCTGGGTGTTTGGTGCCTCTGCTGACCACAACACACTTTCCCTTGCCAAAAAACTGTTTCCAAAGAATGCTGTGGGCTTTGGAGCTTAATTAAATATAAATATCTATATGTGTGTGTGTATAGAATGATCTGGCTGTGATAAGATCCTGGTGGGTTTGATACACAACACATGTTTTCCCTTGAGAAGGGTTTGATGCTTATTTTATGTCTTACTGCCAATTTTATATGGATGTATTTTCATTTTACCCTTTTACTGCCCCATTTTGGGGCTGGGCTGGGCTCTGAGGGCAGGATGTGGCCCTGGGGAGGGGGATGCTCCGTGCCGGGTGCTGGAGGATGCCAGTATCCCCCTGGAATTTGGCAGCAGGCAGGAGCCAAGCAGGGCAGGGGGAAGGGGGAAGGAGTGGGAAACCCAGCGGAGGAGGAAAAACGAGGCTGGAAAAGCAATAAACGAGGTGCAAAGGGAATTGTGCTGCCCACGGCATCCTCTGTTCACTCCAGGGGTAAATCCTGGCTGCTCCAGCCCCTCGATCCAGCACATTCCTCTTGGCCAAATGACGGCGTTTAATGCACGGAGCATCCGGCACTTTTTTTTGTCCCGCAGCAAAACCTCTTGTTTTTCTTCAAATCTGTTTATTTGGTCAAACCAGCTCATTCTGCTGTGGCGGAAATGGCTGTTACTCTGCTCAGCCTCTGCCACAGAGGTTTTGGGGCTGTTTTTAGTGCCCTGTGCCTCGTGTCAGGTTGGGTCACCCGCCCTCCCTTCCCCCGGTGCCGGCTCCTGCAGTGCTGGGCCCCGGCCAGGGCACTGACAATTCCCATGGGATCATCCCACAGGGCAACCAGGCAGCTGGTGCCTCAGTTTCCCCACTGTGGGATGGGGATCACAGCTCCTCCCAGGCAGCATCCTATGGCTCTGGCACCTCCATCGCCCCGGGGTCAGGCATCTGAGCATTTCCCCAAGAGCAGAGTCCAACCCTGGCCAAGCCATATTCCTGCCTGGCCTCTTGGCACAGAGCAAGGCCGTGGAGGGTGAAAACACAATGAGACAAACTCCATTCCGGGAATTTTTCCTCTGCAGGATGGAAAATGTGGTGTGAGGCAGTGCAGCGAGGGGGAGCAGGATCGGGGACACCGTGTGGAGCTGGGGGGGCTGGAGGGGCTCAGAGAGGGTGGCCATGGTGAAGGGTTGTGGTAGCACCCTGTGAGCCCAGGAAAGGCTGCCCACCGTGGTGCCCACCCAGCACGGCTGCCTGCAACATCCACGGGGATGATCCAGCCAGGCCTGCTCCAAAAGCCCCCCACCCATTTACCCACACCCCCAGAAAGGGGGTTTTGGGGACCCCAGGGACAGTAGCACCGCAAAAACAGCTCCCTCAGTGCAAATGTGCCCAAGGAGGTTCCTGTAGCTCCTATTTCACAGGATTAGCCTCATTGTGGACCCAAGTGTCTACACATCCCAGCCCTCTGGGGACTGTGCATCCCTTCAGTCACACTGCAGGTTGGTGCCCACGCTGGGAGGGCAAAACACAGCGTGGTGGCACTGCCGGCTGTCCCGCCGGTCCCTGTCCCTTCCCCGTCACACAAAGGGAGCCGCCGTTTCCCGCCATTTCCCCCCCTGCAGCCCTTCTCCCCCCTCTCCTGCCCCCTTCACCCTCCTCCTTCCCGGCTGCCTGATAAAAGCCGAACGTGTGAATCGCGGGGCACAAAGGGGAGGCACAAAGGCGGCCGGCCCGCTCAGCCCTCCCTGCAGCCCCCACCCCGAGCAGGGACCCCCAGGAACCCCCCGGCATCCTGCCTGCCCTGCCCACCCTGCCCGCTGCACCCCAGAGCCAGGGGCTGGCATGAGCAAGGGGGTGTCCCTGGGGGGCAGGGGGTCCCCAGTAGGGTCAGGATGAATGTCCCTGGGGTTTGGAGATTCCCCAATAGTGTCAGGGTGATGCTTCTGGGCTTAGGGGATGCCCTATAGGGTCAGGATGAGGCTCCTGGGTTTGAGGATACCCCATAGGGTTGAGAATGCCCCTGAGACTGGGGGGAGTCTCATAAACTCAGGATGAGGACGCTGGGGTTCAGAGATATCCTGCAGGGTCAGGATGATGCCCCTGAGACCAGGAGGTGCCCAGCAGGGTCAGGATCATCCCTCATCAGCTCTAGAGGAGGGCCCTGAGGTGTGGAGATAATCCATAGGGTCAGGATGATACCCCTGGGACAGGGGGATGTCTCACAAGCTCAGGATGAGGCCTCTGGGGTTCAGAGATACCCCACAGGGTCAGGATGATGCTCCTGGGGTTATGAAATGCCCTACAGGGTCAGATGATGCCCTTGGGGTTTGGGGGATGCCCCATAGGGTCAGGATGCTTCTGGAGTTCAGGGAAGCCCCATAAACTCATGACAAGGCCTCTGGCGCTCAGAGATGCCCCAGAGGGTCAGGATGAGGCCCCTGGGGCCGGGAGAAGCTCTAGCCCACAGCCCTGGGCAAGAGGAGAAGCAAGAGCCTGGTGACTCCGAGGACACCCTCCAGCCCTGCCACCCCTTGGGGCGCTGCACCCCAAACTTGGCCATCGGGGGGTGCTTCCAGCCCCCCTCCCCCTCCCTGCTTCGGTCAGGATGAAGCCGAAGCAGCACCATCCCAGCGCGGGGAGGGATGCTGGGGGCAGGGCAGGGCCCCACGGCCCCTCACCCCCGTGCAAGGCGCCTGCGCCCGGCGTGTCCGGCCGCCGACAGCTGGTGGGAAGCAGCTTTCCCAGCACATAGCGACAAATTCCTGGCGGTCAGGGCTGCTTTGCAGCCGCCGCGGCCCCGGCGGGGGGAAGCTGGCCTGGAAAGAGGAGGATTAAAAGCTCTTTGGCTCCAGCGACACATCCCAACTGGTCCCCTCGCCCGGCCACCTGCTCGTCCCGGCACCCCGAGATGCTGCGGGCACCCCTGGGCGGGGGCAGCAGGGGAAGCTGCCACCACCCTGCTAAATCCCGGGGGCCCAGCAAGGAGGGCTCAGCCCTGCCTGGGAATCGCTTCCTTAATTAATTTGCTCTGCAGCACCGCGGGGGCCCTCGGGCTGCTCCAGGGACCGGCTCATCCCCATGGACCATCCTCCTCCTCTGCAGCCTGCTGGCCCCCCCCTCCCCCCTTCCCTCAGCTCCGATTTCCCTGGATTTTCTGCTTTAACCAACTCCACCTGCCAGCGAGAAAAATCAGAAACCGGAAAATCGGGGTGATCCCCGTGACCCCCGATTTGGGGGGGGCCGGGCAGGGAACAGCCCTGGGATGTATTTGGGGGATGGTTTCACCTCCCCATTGGAGCCCCACGGCTGCTCCACAGAATGTGATTAATGGGGTCTGGTTGTTGTTAAGCCCCCTGAGCTGCATGTTTGGGGGCAAAACACATGTGTGGGTACATGTGGGTGCGTGTGCATCCTCATTCCGTTTGGTTCCCACAAATCAGGGGGAGATGGAGCAGAAACACGTGTTGCCTTTGGCAGCTCCACTCTCAGCTCATCAGCAAAGAGGGGCTCCAGGGGGGCTGGTGCTGGGGGGCTGTGCTGCCCTCAGGGCTGAGGAGGTGGGAATTCCTCTCCCCAGTTCCACTTCCCTGCACCCCAAAGCCCTTCCCAGGCCATCAGGGTTCTTTCCTACACCAGCAATGGCCTCGGGGACACCAAGGCTTGTGACAAGGCTGGTGGCCCTGTGGCAAGGATATGAGGTCCCCCCAGATCCCCTTCTGAGCTCTCTGGGGACACCCCAAAACAGTGCTGGAGGGAAGCCCTGCACATACTGACCTACAGGCCAAGGGGGGAGCAGGGGGAGGTGACAGTAGTGACATCCTTGGTGACATGTGGCCACACGGGCCTTTGTGCCCCTCATTGAGTGGGTGTTGTTCCTGCGGTTGGGTTGGATTTGGGGGATCATTAACTGGGGGTGGGCAGGGGCTGTGGGGCTGGGCTGCCCCCCCTGCATCCCACTGCCTGGAATTTTCCCACAGTCGCTGCTGCCTCGCAGCAGGAAACCCACCGGCTGCCTCAGGCACAGCCCCCACCAACGGGGCAGGGCTGTGCACAGCCCTGTAACAACCTCACAACAACCCCACAACAACCCCATAACAACTGAACACAGCCATGCACAGCCGCTCCCAGCCACTCCCATGAGCACCCACAGCCACGGAAAACCACACAGAGCTGCACACAACCACACATGGCTGCACAGCCACACAGTCATGCACAACCTGAACACCACCACACACAACCTGCACACCACCATGCACAACCTGCACACCATCACACACAACCTGCACACCACCACACACAACCTGCACACCACCACGCACAACCTGCACACCACCACATACAACCTGCACACCATCACACACAACCTGCACACCATCACACACAACCTGCACACCACCACACACAACCTGACCACCAGCACACACAACCTGACCACCACCACACACAACCTGCACACCATCACACACAGCTGTGCACAGCCACACGGCCACGCACAACCTGCACACCACCATGCACAACCTGCACACCATCACACACAACCTGCACACCACCATGCACAGCCTGTGCACAGCCACGCACACAGCTGAGCACAACTCCATGCGCAGAGTCGCAGGATCAGGGAGGTTGGAAAAGACCTCTGAGATCATAGAGTCCAGCCCATGACCCACCTTGTTATCTAGACCATGGCACTAAGTTCTTAAATACCTCCAGGGACTGTGACTCCACCACCACCCTGGACAGCCCATTCCAATACCCAATCACTCTTTCTGCATAAAATTTCTTCCTCATGTCCAACCTAAACCTTCCCTGGTGCAGCTTAAGGCCTTGCCCTCTTGTCCTACTGCTGGTTGCCTGGGAGAAGAGACCGACCCCCACCTGGCTCCCCCCTCCTGTCAGGGAGTTGTAGAGAGTGAGAAGGTCTCCCCTGAGCCTGCTCCTCTCCAGGCGGAGACCTCCAGCTCCCTCAGCTGCTCCTCACAGGAGCTGTGCTCCAGACTCTTCACCAACCTTGTTGCCCTTCTCTGGACCTGCTCCAGCACCTCAAACATCCTTCCTAAACTGAGGGGCCCAGAACTGCACACAGCTCTCAAGGTGTGGCCTCACCAGTGCCCAGTCCAAGGGCAGAATCACTGCCATGGTCCTGCTGGCCATACTGTTCCTGACCCAGGCCAGGATGCCATTGGCCTTCTCGCCCACCTGGGCACACGCTGGCTCCTCTTCACACAGCTGTGCACAGACTGACACAGTGCTGTGCAAACAGACACAGCCACACAGCTCTGCACACACACACAGAGCTCTGCACACACACACAGAGCTCTGCACACACACAGAGCTGTGCAAACAGACACAGTCACACAGCTCTGCACACACACACAGAGCTCTGCACACACACACAGAGCTGTGCACAAACACAAACACACACAACTGTGCACAAACACACAAAGAGCTGTGCTTAAACACAACCACGCACAAACACACACAGAGCTGTGCACACACACATATTTGCACAGCTGTGCAAGTAGAGACACACACACTGACGCACACACGCACACATTGACACACAGACACAGACACACACACACACAAACACACAGTGACACACACACTAACACACACACACTGACACACACACACACAGAGACACACACAGACACACAGACACACACACACAGTGACACACACAGGGACACACACACACACACACAGACACACACACAGACACACACACACTCACACTCTGACACACACACACTCACACACACACACAAACTGCTCCCCCCGCTCCCGGCGCTGCCGCCCCTGAGCCCCCGTGTCCCGCACAGGGAGTCCCGCGGGGCGGGGGCAGCCCGAGCTCCCCTCTCCGTGCCCGCCCCGCTGCCCCCGGTGCCCGCAGCCGGCGGAAGGCGCCGGGCCCGGCTCTCCTCCCCTTCCGGCGGCCATGGAGCCGGGGGAGCCGGGCTGGGAGCCGGGGGAGCCGGGCTGGGAGCGGGGCGGGGCGGCCCTGGGCGGGCGGGGGCTGCTGGCCCTGGCCGTGGCCAGCGGGGCGACCGCCTGGGCCGCCTGGGCGGTCGTGCTGATGCCCGGCTTTCGCCGCGTCCCCCTGCGGCTGCAGGTACCCCCCGACACCCCCGGCCCCCGTCACCGCCCTCCCCACCTGACCCCCCGCCCTGACCCCCCCTGTGCCCCCACAGGTGCCCTACCAGCCCTCCAGCCCCCGGCAAGTGGCGAACGCCCTGGCCCTGCTGCGGGGACGAGCGGGCAAGACGGTGGATCTGGGCTCGGGAGATGGACGGCTCGTAAGGGCTGGCACGGGGGGTGCTTTGGGGTGCTCAGGGTGGGCAGAGGGCAGGGAGAGGGGCCTGCGCTCACCGGGAGGGTGGATGGGAGACCCACACACACGGGCTGCCCCGCTTCTGGCTCTGGGTCTGGATGGTCCTCCTGGCTGTGGTATGGGACCACCATAGGGGGTCTCAGAGGGTCCTGGGTGGTCCTAGGCAGTTCCAAAACAGAACTAGATGGTGCCAAATGGTCCTAGATGACCCTGCATGGTCCTAAATGGCCACAGACAGCTGTCCTAAGTAGCCCTATATAGTCCTAGACTGTCCTAGGAGGTCCTAGAGAGTCCTAGATGGCCCTAGACAGCCTTAGGTGGTCCTAGGTGACCCTAGATAGTTGTATGTGGTCCTAGACAACCCTAGAAGACATCACATGCAGGGAGCAGGGTGGGAATGCATGCTCTGGAAGGTGCTGGGAACCAAGGTCACCCTGCCCGTGAGCCAGCTGGAGGGAGGGAGTGGAGCTGGGCAGCAGCCCCTGTCCCCCCAAATAGCCCCCCCAGAGTCAACACTGAGGTCCTTTGAGTTTCAACTCTCTTCCCTCTCCAGGTGGTCGAGGCTTACAAGCAGGGCCTGAGGCCAGCCCTGGGCTATGAGCTCAATCCCTGGCTGCTGCGTCTCGCCAAGTACCGCGCCTGGAGGGCCGGGTACCACGGCAAGGTCTCCTTCTTGAAGGAAGATCTGTGGAAGGTAACAGTGTCCCGAGGGTCTGGCTGTGCCAGGGCAGGGCCAGGGCTCTGTCTGCATCTCCAGGCTGGCTTTGCTGGTGGCTGCTTGCTGCTTCCCCAGGGAAGTGGAAAACCACCCTCCTTTCCAGGGGAATGGCAGAGCTCCTTCTTGGAGTGGCTTTGAGGAGAGGTCTGGGTGCTGCTGACACAGTGATAAGCTTCTAAGGCTAACATCAGGTACCCACAGCCTGACTGGAGAGAATCCATCAGGGAATGTGGTTCTGGGATGATGCTGGAGGCAGGTGTTTTCCAATAGGTGCTGCTTTCACACCCACATATCCCCATCCCACATGTCTTGAGGCATCTTTGCACCCTCCGAGGTTCAGAAGAAGATCAACCACAAAGCTAGGATGCTTAGATGATTCCCCCTGCTCCCCCTGTGCCTGTTGCTTCTCTCATTCCCCTTTTCCTGCTCTTTTAAGGTGGATCTTTCCGACTGCAACAATGTGATCGTGTTCCTGGCCCCCAGCGTGGTAAGTTGGTCCCTCACACTCTTGAGTTGTTCAGGGGGAGCTCAAGGAGGGTTTTCTTGGAAAAGAGGGGGGATCTGGGACAGAATAAGGCCAAGTGGGCATTGCTGTGAGCGAGTGGTTTGGTGCTCAGCAGCACCAGGATTTATAAAACCATATCCAATCTAAACCTCCCCTGGCACAACTTGAGGCTGTTTCTCTTGTCCTGTTGCTCATCACTCCTGGTCCCAGCCTTACACCGAGCCAGCACCAGCCCTGTGCTTTGAATGCTTGATGCCCCTGCTCGGGACCCACTGGCTGTGCCCAGAAGCTGCCCTGTGGTCCTGGTGGCACTGCCACTACCTGACCATGTCCTAAGGTTTGCCTGGCTCTGGCTCTTCTCTCCCCAGAAACCTCCCTTGGCCACGAAGCTCCTGGCAGAACTCCCCGACGGGGCCCGGGTGGTGTCTGGACGCTTCCCCTTCCCGTCCTGGACCGCCAGCAGCACCCTGGGGCAGGGGCTGGAGCAGGTCTGGGCCTATGACATCAAGGAGGTGCGTCAAGCAGCGCAGAGCAGCGCCCAGGGAAGCCCAGTCTGACAGCAGCCTCGTTAAGCTCAGTCTGACAGCAGCCTCGTTAAGCCTGGCATTAAGGGGCAGAGCCTCTCCAGCCCTAGGCTCAGCTCAGGACAGCAGTGCTTGGCCAGGATTTGTCCTGGGGACTTGCAGGGTGGCAGTCACTCAGTTTTCCAAAGAGTTTGGGAGAAGCAAGGGAGGAAAAAAATCAGACTTGGAAATCCTGCGATTAACGCAAGATTTAAGGACTAAAGCTCCAGTGCCTCTTTCTGTATGTTGGCTACTTTATTTAATTTTTCAAAATAAATATTTGGTTGGTTGTTGGTTTTGAGGGTTTTGGTTCGCCTTTGAGCTGCAGGACAATCCTGGAGCCAGAGCATCCATCAGTCCTGGACTCTGTCTTTGCTCCACCATCCCTTAGAAGGTAACACAAGAGGGAGTGTGTCCAGCTCACCTCCCCTGAAGGATCAGCTTGGCCCTGCTCATCTATGTAAATTCCATTTTCCATTCAAACACAGGAAAAACGGGTTTTCCCACTGCAGAATCTTAAGATCATGGAATGGTTTGGGTGGGAAGGGACCCTAAAGTTCATCTCCTTCCACCCCCTGCCATGGGCAGGGACACCTCCCACCAGCCCAGGTTGCTCCAAGGCCCATCCAGCCTGGCCTTGGACACTTCCAGGGATGGGGCAGCCACAGCTTCTCTGGGCAACCTGTGCCAGGGCCTGCCCACCCTCACAAGTAAAGAGCAGCTCATCCCTTTGTCCAGCCTCAGCGTGGCTTGAGCCAGCCTTGGCTCCATCTCACGGGAGCGGGGAGGGGAGGAGAGCGAGGCAGGAGCAGCCCTCGGGCTCTGGTCCAGGTCTCAGACAGCAGAAATGTTCCAGCAGGAACAGGAACCTGTCCCTGCAGCCCGGCATTACAGAGCTGCCTGGGAACCTGAGCCCGTGTCCGTGATGTGCTCAGGGAACAGCAGAATTCCTGCAGCCCAGGGATAGGCGAGGAAAGACGAGACACAGTTGTCTTGTGTCATTTTAGTGCTGTGAACTCCAGACGGGGAACACCCACGTGCTTTCCCTCGCAGCTCCCAGCCTGGGCAGGGTGCTTGCCTGGCAGTCCACAGAACACAAACCTCCTGCTTTGAATCCTGCCCCTCCCTACGCCGGTGCTGCTCCTCATGGAGTGCTATGGATCGTGGCTGACAGCCCTGGCTCTGGGCAGGGGGGGAGCAGCAGCTGCCCTGGCACTGAGCGCACGTGGCCCCTCGCTGCCCTCGGCGTTCCTGAGCCGCAGGATCTCCCGCTTGTACCTGCAGTGGGAAGCAGCACAGTGTCCCCAGGCACTGAGCCATGCCTGGCAAGTGGGAACCCCCAGCCTTTCATCTCCAAGGTGTTCATGGGCTCTGCAGAGAGCCCTGACCCGAGTTCCCGGCTGGGGAGGGGGATTGTGCTCCCACAGACAGGCCCTGCCCCAGGAGCTGCTCTCCCTGCTCCGGGGCAGGATGGGCCAGGGAGAGAGGAACATGGATCAGGGGGCTCCTGGGAGGCTTTGTATGTTAGGCAACGCCCTCTTAGCCCCTTCTGAAGGCTCCAAGGAGACCTTAGAGCCCCTTCCAGTGCCCATGGCAGGAAGGTGGAACTGGATGGGTTTTAAGGTCCCTTTCAATCCGAAGCATTCCATAATTCTATGATTCCTCCAAAGGATGGGTGAGCACAGAGGGAAGGAGACATGTGGCTGGGCATGTGTGTCCCCCTGCCCTGGGGAAAAAGGGCTGGTGGCAGCTGCCTGCACAGCTGGAGATGCAGCAGGACATCAGCCGTGCTGGCAGTGCTGTGGCAGCGTGGTGGGCACCATGATGTCCCTGGCAATGAGCCTGGAGGTGAACTGGGAGCGCAGGGCAGAGCAGGAGGACTCCACCACCTCACCTGGCAAGATGCTGATCTATGTACTCCTGCAGCTCCAGCACCTGCTCCTCTGCCATGACAGCCCGAGTCAGGAGCTGGCTCCTCTCCTGCTCCAGATCCTCCTGGATGGGCAGAGAAACAGGGAGAAAACAGGGAGAGCTGTGGGATTGGAGTGAAGTTGCTCAGTCCCTCTCTGCCAGGCCCTTCCAACCACTTCCCCATCGCTCTGGCCTCTCAGCCACGACAGCTCTGGTTGTTTGGCAACAAAAATACACCCAGTGCAGGTGTTCAGCTTTCAACATCCCCGGGGCATGGGGAGCCCTTCCTCAGGTC